GTATAAAAGCCCAAAGTGGAGAGCTGCTGTTGCAGGAGGTTTGGTTCTGTTTCTGTCAGGACAGGCCCTTAAATCAATTCCACTGTGCCAGATGATATAAAGAGAACTTGCAAAGGGATTTTCTGGATTGGGCCCAAGATCTCTTGTTACTGGACAACTGTTTTGACAGGCCACAATGGTGGTAAGTGGTCTGCAAAGATCACAGGGAAGTAGCAAATGGCAGTTGGTTGTATATTCTGGGCCTTGTAGACACATGAAGATTGGCATGATTGGCACTGCTGAAATCAGAGATGGAAGAAACATAAATAAGGCATCTGTGTGTATTATAGGCAGACAAGTTTCTTTGGGTAAATGTGATATCTTTTATTAGACCAACTAAATAGCTCAAAAATTGTTCTCTGCAAGCTTTTGGGCACAAACACCCTTCTTCAGACACCCTCTCCAATACCTGAGGACAAGGGTGTTTGTGTCTGAAAGCTTGCAAAGAACAATTTTTCCAACTATTTACTTGGTCTAATAAAAGATAACGGATTTACCCAAAGAACCTTGTTTGCCTATATCCTTAGACCAACAGGGCTACAACCAACAACCCTGTCTGTATTATGTCACTTTAATATAGATGTTAAAGTAAGTGCAGTTCTCAAATGCTCACTGCTGGTGCTGCTGATTCAAGCAGGATTATAGCCCATAAACCACGTGAGGAGCTCCAAAGTGGCAGTTTTAAAAATATACCTCTGGCTTCAATTGTTTGTGACCCATGCCCATTTATTATTATTACCCCAGGAATACATTTGCTGAGACTTTTGTGCTGAAGGTGGCAGGTGGTAAAATATCTATCCCCATGTGTGAATTGGTGCATTTGTATCTTCCAGGTGCACCCGGCTTTTAACCCCTTAAGTGTGAAGTTGACCCCCAGGGTAATGTCATAGCTTATGGAGAGTTGGGGGAGACTAAAGAGGAGACTGAGGACAAAATGACAAATAGGATCACAGATCTCTCTCTCTCTCACACACACACAATCTCTCCCTGTCTTCACACACAGACACAGCCACATCTATCTCACTCACTCTCTCTCACACACACCTCTCACCCACTCTCACTCTCTCTCTCTACCTGTCGTCACACACTCACTCACACACACAGATCTCTCTCTGTCCCTCTCACACACTCTTATACACCCAGGTGCGTTTCAGTTGCGGCTGGAAGCAAGCTTGTGAGGGGTCAGCTGCACTCCTTAGCTCTTAGACCGCATGGGTTAAACACCAGCCGGCTCTAAGGTGCTGAGGAAGAAACAGGTCTGCCCCCTCCCGTGCCCGGCGATTGCTGCCTCCCCGCGCTCAGCGCCGAGAGCTGCTCGGCTCGTGCTGCGGCAGGGACATTTCGTGCCCCTCCGAACTTGGCGGAGACTCCCGGAGGAAAATCGCATTTGGTGACGAACGCAAGTGGCATGGGGGTTGGGATGTCTCTCCCTTTCCCAGAGCCCCGCCCGGGGCTTCCCAAAATCCCCAGCCCGATGCCCAGCACTTTGGGATCTACCTGCCTTGCACGTGGCTCTTGCCCGGACCTGACCGCCCCCCCCCCGCCTTCCTCTCCTCCCCTTTTGCTTCGCCTCTCCGCCCTGCCCGGTTTGGTCCCTGCGCCTGGTTTCAGGGCGAGAGGCGCACACCCACTCACACCGTGACACGCACACAAAATCTCTCCCTGTCTTCACACTCACTCACACACGCATCTCTCTCTCTCACACACGCTCGCACCGTGACACACACACATTTCTCTCTCTCGCACACGATCTCTCCCTGTCTTCACACTCGCTCATACACACAGATCTCTCTCTCTCTCAAACACTCACTCTCACACGCGCGCGAAAGAAGCGTGTGCAGAGATGCCCAAGGGAAAAGGCCGTGATTGAGAGGGAGAGGCAGCCTAAGAGGAAGGACACACACACACACACACTGCACCACACAAGGCACCCGTGCGCCCCGCCAGGCACCCCCCGGCGCTCGAGACGAAGAGGAGCGCCAGCAGGCAGAGGCAGGACCGCGCGGTGCCCGAGTGCGAGACACGCGGGGAAGGACGGGCCGGCGGGCGGAGGCGGCTGCGCACACGGCCCCGCACACACACCTCTCACGCACGCACACACACAGCTCTCCGTCTCCCTCACACAGAGCTCTCTCTCCATCTCACACACACACACACACGCCCAAACACAAACATAGATTTCTCTCTCACATCCAGATCTTTCTCACACACAGATCTTTTACACGCACACGGACCTCTGACACACACCTCTCTCTCACACACACATCTCTCTCGCGCACATAACTCGCACAGATCTCTCTCTCTCTCTTGCACGCCCGCCCACCCCCGACTGCAAGAGCCGGGCGCACCAAGGCTGGCGACAGACACACCTCGGCGCTCGCCACAACAAAGGAGGCTCGCTGCGTGCTCATGGCGACCGAGCGACTTGCACACGCACTGTG